GAAGAGAGAGGAAATGAGGATGAGAGAGAATTTCACTATTGTGAAAAAGTAATTCAGTAGCCATATACTCCAGTCTTCAGTGTCACATACTGTAACTTAAAGCATTAATAAATTTTTTTTTTAAAAACGTATTGACCCCAAACTTTCGAATTCTAGGGTATATGTACAGACACTGCCTTATTATTATACATTATATACATATATAAAAAAGCTGAGCATATATAAATTATTTACAAAACAGACAGTTGGTAGAGTTATTCAGTATTGTACAGTTGAACACTATATTTTATTGGCAGGGCACAACTGAATGGATCATCTGTTCAACTGTTTATGTATTCTGGATATGTATTCATCTGCATTTTACATGCATATGTGAAATGTGCACACATCAGTTCAGTTGTGTATTAATGGGCCAAGTTACTATGTTGGTTGCCTCAAAGGTGCAGTAAGCAAAAACACTGTTGATATCTGAATTCAACTCAAACAAACACACCCCTCCCTTCATTGCTCCGCCCCCAAAAACGCACAAACACACAATGCAAGATTTGATGTCTCTTTATCATAGCTGAAGCGAAGAAAAATAATGCTTCTCGAAAAATAAAGCAAAGATGACGAACGAATGACAAGGAATAAAAAGATATGAACATACAGTAGACAAGAGTATACAAGCAAGAGCTAGTTGTTAGTTGCCAGCAGCACAGCAGCTCCAGACAAACAATGACACTCAAAACTGTGGTGTTACTAAAGCTAGCATTACAACAACGTTATATCTCGGTTCTGTGAAACAGCTAAACCAATTTTACTCACGTATGGAGCAGAAACAACGCAACCTCACGTCCGTTTTCAGGTCTTCCCGCTGGAAAGCTTTTCCAATATTAACGCGGGTCCTAAAGCTCTTGTCTGATCTTCTTTTTCCAGTGAAATTCCTCTGAACTTTTCTCTTTTGTAATGTCTCTCAGCCATCTCTCTTTCTACAGTCTTTCTTCAAATCTCACTCTCTCTCCTCCCCCATCATGAGTGGACACGCCCCCCACTGCTGATTGGCTACAAGTGTGTTGGAAATCGCAAACATTTTAAATATATATATATATATATATATATATATATATTGTCTTTATTTTGATTATGTAGTAATCTTTTTGGGAAATGAAAGACACTCAAATTTGTTTTAAATATAATGTGAAAATGTCACAGCTGAAGGGGTTGCAGGCACTAGCCTGAACTCTATTCACAATAGAGCACAGCCTATCATACCTTATTTCTTAACTATAGAACCCTTGACCATTGACACGCTAAAGGCAAGTGCAGAACATTGAATTCAGAAAACAACAAGTAAACCTTAAAGCTATATCTGACTTGGAGGTTGAGATATCAACCAGGATCATGACACATGTTTTGGCAGCCTGCTGCTGTACAGCCCAAACTGTAGAACTGAAACTCCAAAAAAAATAAAAAAATAAAAATAAAAAAAAAACAGCACAGAGGAGCTGGGGGAAAATGTCTAGTCTTATTTTTCGAAATAAAATGCTGTGGGCTGTATGAAAAGTTGATTTGCCATCATTCTCTAGTACATCCGAGGCAATAATGGAGCTCTCCATATCGATCACAATTATACCAACTGAATAGAGTCGGCAATCTCCTGCTCCTCTATGGAGACTGAAAGATGGAGAAATCAGATTCTCATCCAGAGAACATTGAACATGTTTGGAATAATGACACAACCGACCAGTCAGTTGCACAGTAAAATCTAACAAATGTTCAAACCAACACTTTTTAGTTGGCTTTACTCAATGTCCTCAATTTAGTTGGACATTAACTCTATCCCTGCCAGCCAGCACCAGCATTTTTGATCATTTCCCCAGAATATTCTGTTGTATGAGATTGGGTCGATCGTGTCCATCAACACCCCCAAATCTTGCACAGTGGTGTAACTCTTTGTGGGTTTGACATTTTATTCTGTAATGTTAGGCTGTTTTGATTAATATGCTGTTAAATGTTTGATGATCATGTGAGCTAACATTTGCTTCTATCACTTGTTTTGATCCGGAGATTCTCTACTCTTTCAAAAGATGGATAATAGCGCCCCCTACCATGTGACAGTGAAAACTTAGATTGGCAGAAAATTTCGTCAATGGCGGGGAAGCGTTGTGTAATAAATGACAGAAAATTATGTTAATTGCAGAGAATGAGTTAAGTACATTCCCAAAACTTTCTAAGTTTTTGTAACATAGTTAATGTGACTCATCTTTGCCTTGATGGATAGCTTTGGGAGTTATATTCATGTTGCTTCTGTGTGTGTCCCTGTCCGAGGACAACATGATTGCATCATACAGTCATAGTATGTACACTTCTGAACTTCTTATCTTGAGGGTTTTGTGGCTCAAAGTGGTTCAAACGCAGAAATGTTCTTTCAAGTTTTTTTGCGTATATACAGTAGTATCACTTTTTCTTTGTGTCCCTACCCAATACATGCTTCTTCACACTGTATTTTTGTCAGCATCAATCCATTCCTTATTGTCTTCTTCTCTCTGCGTCTCATTCAATATATCTGCCATTAATATCTCATATTGCTATTCCTTGATGCTCTCTCTTGGTCTCGGCTCATGAATACGTCTGTCGTGGCATTTGCTATGACTGTGTCTTTGAAGGAGCTTAAAGAAATGCCCTTACTGATTCCTCCCAGACTTCTTTCTTCTCACGTCAAGAGCTGCACTCAATATATTGTTTCAAAGTCTGAGGCAACGCAATCATAAACCACAGATAAAAGTACCGTGGTGTGATACTCATACACACACAGGCATCCACAGTTGCAAACACGGAGATGTAAAACCTGAGAGTTGGTTCTATAGGCTTTCAGTGATGACCAGAAATATGAGACGCACTGAGAGAACCTTGTGACCTTAGTGATGTTGAACAACACATTAATCCTATTATATTGGATACAAAGCATTTGCTAACCTAGAAGCTAAACACATTGAGCCACAATCTGGAATGTTTGTCATTTTTTGTCATTCCCGCATCTCATTTGCACCATATCTTAAATTACTGTTCTCTCTAATAGCAATTGTGGTGGAATCAATAAGTGACTTTTTTTTTTTTAAATGGACAACCTTTTGTTTTGCTAAAGCTATTTACATTGCACTTTACCCAAAATTCACACAAATAATAATTTCACACAATTTGCATAATTTGACAAAATTACAGCTTGATTGGAATTGATGAGATGAGATGAGATGCACCTGGAATAAATGGATGTTTCACCCAAAAATCAAGAGTCAAAATTAAAAGAACCAATTTAAATGTATTATTTACTGAATCAGAAAGATTCGTTCACAATTTTAACTCACTCAGTGATTCGGTCATAGCAGTTCTCGAGTTAACAGTTGCAAAGGAAGATTATCAGTAAATAATGACTTAAATTTAAGTCTGCTCATTCCAAAAGCTATCATCTAACTACAGAAGACATTTAATATTGGATATATAAACTTCATTTATTTAAAGTGGATTTATATATACATATATATATATATATATATATATATATATATATATATATATATATATATATATATTAGTGCTGTCAAGCGATTAAAACATTTAATCGTGATTAATCGCATTAACTCGCGATTAATCGCACATTTGTATCTATTCTAAATGTCCCTTGATTTCTTTTAGTCCCATTATTTTTTTCTCATTTTAATGCTCTTATCAACATGGAAAAGTGGATTGGCTTGCTTTGTGCAAAGGTTTTTTTTATTGAAAACAATATTGGTATATACTGGCGCGATAGGCGCTAATGGTTTTATTTGGTGCATTAACACGTTTGACGCGAATTCGCGAATTCAATGGAAACATTTGGCAATTTTTTAAAAGTAAACTTTCCATTTAGAATCTTATTGGCATCCATTTCGGCGTCTCGCGCTCGTCATCCACTCAAAACCTAACGTTACCCTACTACTATTTGGCCGACTCAAAAGTCCAAACAAGCGTGTGCGGTGTGCCTGTTGTTTTGTTTCCGGTCTAGCTAGATCCGGTGTTGTAGTTTTTACTTCACTTAGTTTTTACGTTACTAGTTGTTGTAACAGCATGTTACAGCAAAAAAACTACAAAGTTTGCTTGGCCAAAAAGATCGTTAATCTCGCAATAAAAAAAAATGTACGCCGTTAAAAAGGGTTTGCGTTAACACCGTTAATAACACGTTTAACTGACAGCACTAATATATACACATATATACACTCACCGGCCACTTTATTAGGTACCCCATGCTAGTAACGGGTTGGACCCCCTTTTGCCTTCAGAACTGCCTCAATTCTTCGTGGCATAGATTCAACAAGGTGCTGGAAGCATTGCTCAGGGAGTTTGGTCCATATTGACATGATGGCATCACACAGTTGCCGCAGATTTGTCGGCTGCACATCCATGATGCGAATCTCCCGTTCCACCACATCCCAAAGATGCTCTATTGGGTTGAGATCTGGTGACTGTGGAGGCCATTTTAGTACAGTGAACTCATTGTCATGTTCAAGAAACCAATTTGAAATGATTAGAGCTTTGTGACATGGTGGAAGTAGCCATCAGAGGATGGGTACATGGTGGCCATAAAGGGATGGACATGGTCAGAAACAATGCTCAGGTAGGCCGTGGCATTTAAACGATGCCCAATTGGCACTAAGGGGCCTAAAGTGTGCCAGGAAAACATCCCCCACACCATTACACCACCACCACCAGCCTGCACAGTGGTAACAAGGCATGATGGTTCCATGTTCTCATTCTGTTTACGCCAAATTCTGACTCTAACATCTGAATGTCTCAACAGAAATCGAGACTCATCAGACCAGGCAACATTTTTCCAGTCTTCAACTGTTCAATTTTGGTGAGCTCTTGCAAATTGTAGCCTCTTTTTCCTATTTGTAGTGGAGATGAGTGGTACCCGGTGGAGTCTTCTGCTGTTGTAGCCCATCCGCCTCAAGGTTGTGCGTGTTGTGGCTTCACAAATGCTTTGCTGCATACCTCGGTTGTAACGAGTGGTTATTTCAGTCACTGTTGCCCTTCTATCAGCTCGAACCAGTCTGGCCATTCTCCTCTGACCTCTGGCATCAACAAGGCATTTCCGCCCACAGAACTGCCGCTCACTGGATGTTTTTTCTTTTTCGGACCATTCTCTGTAAACCCTAGAGATGGTTATGCGTGAAAATCCCAGTAGATTAGCAGTTTCTGAAATACTCAGACCAGCCCTTCTGGCACCAACAATCATGCCACGTTCAAAGTCACTCAAATCAACTTTCTTCCCCATACTGATGCTCGGTTTGAACTGCAGGAGATTGTCTTGACCATGTCTACATGCCTAAATGCACTGAGTTGCCGCCATGTGATTGGCTGCTTAGAAATTAAGTGTTAACGAGCAGTTGGACAGGTGTACCTAATAAAGTGGCCGGTGAGTGTATATATATATATATATATATATATATATATTGCCTAAAATCTGTTATATATGAATAGAAAATCATATTTCCTGTTTTGTTTAGTTTGTCTAAAACCAAATAAAACTCCCCATAGGAAAAAAACAACAACAGATTTTCACTTCACACCATTGTGTTAATGTGCAGAACATACTGGCTAGCTTTACAGACTGTAGAAATTATTGTGGATTTAATAATTAGTTCTTGTGTATTATTATTATTATTACTATTTAGATTTATTAGCACATAACAGAAAATATGATGATGACATAACAATAAACATTAAGGTCTTCAAAAATGTCTTTATTTCTAGTAGGTAAACTAAATGAAACATTGACTAACAAAATGTTTTTTATGGAAAATAGGGTGAAAATTCTACTTCTAATTCTAAACCGCTAAGGTCATTATGAACTGTGCTCATGATGTTTGTTTAGTTGTTTATTCTCACAGAAGATAGAAATAGCATGAGGGTGTTAATAATGACTGAATTGCCATTGTTGGGTTAACTATCCTAAAAATCACCCCTAAACATAAAGAGGCCACCCAGGACATCCATTTCCCACAAGTCAATGGTTGATTCCGTCCAATTTGTGTGAGAGATGGACATGTTTTCCAGAGGAGTTAGGGGGATTCTCATTCTCAGTGTTTTATTGATTGCTTTGAAAACACCAACTTAAAACTAGGCCAGATATTACAATCCATCCTCCAAGCCTTCACTAAACCATCCTCACGAGTCTTAGTACCATGTGATTTAGTTCACGGCTTGTGTCCTGCAGTCATTCTTCATTATCTTAGATGGCCTCGTCAGACCCCGGTGAAGCCTTATCCTTCTTTAGAGTCTGAAACATTTCACCCGTTCCCTCTATCGAGCCAGATGATGCTCTGATAGACCCAGATGGCTAAAACGTAATGTCTTTTCACAGACATCGTTCAGAGAGGTTGTATTATCAGGATAAATTAAACCATGGCACATATATATATATATATATATATATATATATATATATATATTGTTATCAATGGAAATACAACCAGAAGCAAGACTTTGGCCCTGAATCTCTTCAGCTCCTCCCCAGCAGCGTTGGAAGCCTGTGCGTGAACAGAAGGAGATTTTGGTAGAGTAATTACTGTTGAAGCTGAATTCCTCCATTCTCCCTCACACCATCAAAGCCCTTGACTCAATTAACCAGCGTAAGCGGATCTCCTGAAGAGGGAAATTTGCCCAGGCGCCACCTTTTGAAATGCAAAAATCGAGTAGCTCTCGGTATAGCCAGATTTGTCGGCTTTAGCATCAAGCGTGCAACAGCGAGCGGTGCTCTTGCTTCCCAAATTACAGGGACTGAAAGCAATGGTACTAAATTATCTATCCAGAACGAATAAGCACAGGTGCTGAGGAGAGCGTGCTTTTGGTTGTCATAATTAACATGCGCCAACTTATACTTCTAAGAACTTTAGCCCAGAACTCTCGCGTCATAGCACCTGAGGAAAGGACTATATGTAATCCTCTTCAGCAAAGCCAGGAATGGGGAAATAAATGCTATGCTTTGGCTTCAGCCCAGTGTGCAGGCTGCATATCTAGATAAGCAATGATAATTATGGCAGGAATCACCCAGGGACAACTCATGGATGTGTGCAGTTTGATAGTGTTGTCTTTACGGCAATCAAATGAGAGTTTTGGGAGAGCATTATCTGCGAAACACAGGCTTTTTGTGCCTTCCCCCAAGTTTGTGCCAGCTGTCTGATTACCAAATAAAGTCAGTTAGACCTTTCTGGTTCCAACAGTTCTTCTACACTTGGAGGCAATCATATTGCAGTTATGGCTCCAAGTACCTGGAAATCGAACAGATGTCCCAAAGCATGGGACACTATAATCTCTGTATACACTCTATGATTTTAAAGTATTTTTGCTGCCTTATGGATGGATTCTGACTAATTGGTGAATCGAAAAAAAGAAAACAAAAAATCTTGTTTTCCCATGCAATTGAACAGAAGGAAAGGATGCATGCTATGAAATTGATTTTGGGGTTTTATGTTCAAATGAAATATTCTCTGAGTGGGCCAGTCACAATAACTATACTTGTTGGACAATATATTTCACCTAGAAATAATTTGCAATAAACAATATTATTGTCTTTAAAAAACATTTTACACCATTGATATAATCATAAAATGATAGCATATTAACGCATGTTTATAATGTTCCAACAAAACATTAGAATTCTTAGCAAGTAAAGTAATGAATTACTTTTTAAATGTACAACAAAATATCTGTTACTTTTTCAAATCAGTAACGCAAATATTGTATATAATGATATAGGTGTAGATATCTATCTTCATTCAACATCTTGTTGCTTTGATGACTGTATGTGGGTGAAACAGTGTATGCAAGACAGAGAAAGACTGTGGAAGAGAAGCTTTGTCACCTTATATAAGACATAAAGGTCATTGGTTTGTGTTTGATGTGGGGCATAAAAGATAACAGCAGCTGAACAGAATTATAAGTGGAGAACATACTTGAGCTGCCTTGTTTTACTAAATATCATCAATTTCTGCACATTTGATATTCATAAAAAATGTACATGTACATTATAGACATATTGCATGATGCTGTGGGTGGTTACAGAGCGTTATCAATGCATTGTGATGTGGTTGTTTTATTGATGGTTGCTATGGTGATCTGAGTAGTAGGTTTACAAAGGAAACAAAACATTACTGTTTTATAGATATTGCTCAGGTCCCTCTTTGAATGTATAGTCCTTTTTAATCATATGAAAATCATAATGAAGTGTTGTGAGTTTTTCTGGTTACTGTACCAGCAAAAATTTTAATACATTATGTTTTATTATTGAATTGATTAACTAGATTCTGAAGTAATTACTGTATGTGTTTATAAATGTGTTTATGATTTATGTAGATCATTCTTTTTTTCTGCAAGGCAGAAGTTAAATATTTATTTTCTGACTCGTGCCTGCTCCCTCAGTGTTCATTTGTGAAGATTATTGTGATGAACAAAACGTGTAAGAATCACAAACTTAGTTTTGTTATATATATATATATATATATAACAATAATCAAAAAGCCAATGGAAAAATCCCAATTGGGCTGTTGTTGATGCTAACCTTCTGGTTGGCCTACAATAATACTTCATCACTGCAGCAGTGGTTACGGCACTGGCACTATCAAGACATTGCTCTGATGTACCATCCCGACAGCTATATAAGCTCAACCAATACAAGCAAATGAGGGGAGAGTTCAATAAACCTGTTTATCAGGAGATTATAGTGACACAGAACTTACACACTTCACCTTTAACAATCACCACTAATTATATAAACATTTGTCTAGTGAGTTAAATTGGCTTGAAAACAGAAGATGACAGAATTGTTGGTTCTATTAGGGTTCAGCATATCCCATATGGTCTTATCTTCATTCCCATCTATTTCTCCATCTCTCTCTCACACGCATGTGCTCACTGGGCAAGAGCAGTGGGAACTGATGCAGAGGATGAGTAATAGTTGCTGATAATCAACAGAGCTTCTGGCTCTATCAGCTCATTTGAGCCTAATGCCATTTGCTGAGATGCATAGCAATGCAGCCTGATGAAATTAGCCTTTCTGCTGTGAGCTAAAGCAGCGAGCCCTTAAACAAGCCCAACTGGATTACCGTGAACAGTATCATGCTGACAACCCCATCAGTACACGTCAAGACCCACCGGCCAGAGCCTGGAGAGAAACATCGCACTGCACCGGGTTTTCCCGGCATGTTTACGAGTTGCATGGCATGCGGTCATGGCCTCCACTGGTCAAATGGGTGTCTTTAACATAAACCAGATGGTTTGCTGGTTTCAGCTGGTTTAATTGATGTACAGCTGGTTCAACTGGAAAGCCAAATGATCTCCAAAAATAAATGTAATACTAATAAAAATGCAATAGCAAAACCCCCACTGTAACCAGCCTAGTACAGTCTACATGGTAAATAGTTGTAACCTGAAAGTGTCATTTTGTCACTTAGTGCTATGGATAAGCTTGACCAGAGTCAAATACTGCTTTGCTTTAGTAGGAAATACTTAGCAAACTTTTAGTCATAATGGTGTCAACTTTTATTGTTCCCGGGTGCAAGAATTCAAAGAACGTTTCGCCAGAGTGATTTACTTTCGGTGTCCAGTGAAGGATCCAGCGTGTTGTAGGCAGTGGCTAAGTTTGCAAAGAATTGTAAATATGGAGAGAATGCTTTGTCAACATTTCAAACTGAAACAAACTGTTCTGTTAGTTCCCTTTAACCCCACCCAAGCAAAACACGGTTCCATTTTTACCATAATTCTGTTTAAAGAGTATAGGCAAAGTACAATACAATTTTCAGTGATTAACCTACCCTTACAATAACTGTTATGTTAATAACCCTCTGTCGATCCGACTGTCCTTGGATGGGGATACAATAATGCGGAATTACAATCTGTAGTTTTCACAAAAGCCCTGTAGCTGTCAAATGTCCTTTTGCTGACAAATAAACATGAATTTCTCAGTCCAGGTAACACAGAGAACAAGTAAACATTGTTCATTTACATATACTACCGAGATTGTAACAATACTGTTTGTTTGTTTCTTCTATTTTTAGTTTGTTTCTTCTATTTTTTTTTTTTTTACTTTTTAATTAGGTATATGCGGTTGTCTTGAGTATGTGTTCTGTTTGATACATTTCAGGGTTTTGTCCTTCAATATCCTGCCTTGTCAAACTCTTAAATAAACTAAACTAAACTAAAATACAAAGCAGGTTGAAAATCGGCAAAATTACACTTTAATTTGCGCCCTTGTGTATATGTTCCTGTGTATGTGCATTCGTATCACAGTGTTTCACTGTTTGAGAGAATATGTATGCTATTTTATGTGGAAACTAATGAGAAAAATAGAACAGAATGGGCGACACAGCAAATTCATAGTCCAGATGTTCAGTATAA